CTGGAAAGAGCAACTAAACACCCAACAAAATCATTATGATGCAGGGAAAGAGCAAACAGTCAAGAAGATGCCCTTTGCTTGAAAAATAGGAAAAGCAAGAATAAAAATTGGAATGAAGAGTTTCTTGTCGTCTAATACCAGGTGCAAGGGAGCCAGGAAGGAGGTGTTCATGTTCTAATTGCTGAAACACCACCCTCGAGTAAGGTCCTTATGCAAGGTCGTATTTCTAAGAAACTGGTGCAAACCATGCAATTTTTGCATTACTTGTGTGTCAGCCTCCACTTTAAAAAATGGCAGAACTGTGAACGCAATCTACATTGAAGAGGAGTAGGAAAATTTCATCGTTTCACAGTAACAGGCTGACACCATTTTGTGCCAACTCCCTGAACTTTGTCCATTTCCCTGGTTGGATGACTCAAGTTTGCTCATTCCCCACTTCACCCCAGTGCTGTTCAGGACCTGCCCAAAGTGGATCCCGGGGCTGGCCAGGTGGATTTATCTCCTTTGTTGGAGCTGTGTGTGGTGACAACCAACTTGGCCTTGCTTACTCTCAGCAGAGGGACTGACAGGCTTTCCGCACCCATCTGCTGAGCACAGGTTTTACGTGCTTCTCCCACGTTGGTACTAGCTCAGGGCTCCCCTCCCCAGCCCATACCACTCCCATTATTCATATCTCCTTCACAAAAACCTGCTCGGTTCAAGCCACAGGAGGCTTTTCTATGAAAGTTAGATTATACACTTGAGTGTGATTCAATCAGTAGGGATGGAATTGATTATAATATCAAGTTTGAAGTAACTTTGCTGTCCTAAACTAGCTCTCCTAGTCCATTTAACTAAATTTAATTCAAATGTCCTCCATGGCATGCCACCATGTGTCATCCCTTCCTGCATCACACCAGCTTAGTGGCTGTTTGTGCAGAACACAAGCTTTTAAAGAAGACCTTTAAGATTTTCTTAATATAGTCTGACTTCAGATCATCCACAAAATGTCTTCAGATATTAAAACCATTTTCTGTCTGACTCAGACACAAACTAGTTTTAAGTGACAGTTCACCCAGGGAGAATTATATTATTTAATTACAACCCCTCCTTCCCTAAGTGGCTGTATTTCCACCCTGTGGGTGGTTTAGAACTGTGTTCTTCTTCATTTGAAAATTATGGGTTTGGTCGCATTCAAGAGTTACTGGTGAACACCATTTATAACATCTTAACACAAACCCACTTCTTTTCTAATTGTTCCTCCTTCATATTTATCTGTATTGGAAAAAAAGTTTTCAAAGTGCTGTGTCTATGCTGCACTCATTACTGTTCAGCCAGCTGAGCTACAAATACATGGCTGTTTCACCAGTCATACCCCAGGGTGTAATTCAGCATCACCATTTATCCAGTGGCAATGGTTCTGTGAGCTCCATCATTTCAAGCAGCTCCCAAATCCCTTCCTCACTGCTCACTTGCAGGGCTGCACTATAAACCAAGCCAGTGAAATGTTTCGTGGCAATGTCCAATCTCACAATGTAGTACTTATTTATTACATGTTTAAATCTAAACCACTTACTGACACAGGTCACCTGTACTAGAAAGTTTCCCTGCCACAAGAGTGATGTTAGCAGAAGGTATCAGAGGACTGAAATGGCATAAATTAGAACTGGGAGATGGAGTTATAATCTTAATTATTTCTTCCGTGTTCCTTTCTTCTTGCTTTATTTTATTGCTTCCATTTGGTGCAAAGATTCAAAACCAAAAAAGGAAAAAAAAAAAAAAATAAAGCTGTCAAGCTCCCTATCTCCCCCAAAACACTCCACATGAAGCAAGTGCCAAGCTAAGCAAATACAGCATAACAGACATTCTGCTGAAAAAGTATCCAAGTTTGAGTTGCTAGCAGAGATATTTACAGATACTACTGGGTAATACCGCCAGGCCCCAAAGATAACTCTAGCTTCTAGTCCTGTGAGCATCATGCTCCTTTATTAATATTGTTCCAAAGGTCTGTGGGTCAGATTATTTAAATGTACACTGCACTAAAGAATATTCAAATATTCTCCCATCTATATAAATAATTACAACTCATAAAACAGTCCTTTACCTGGTTTCATTTTAAGTGATATAGAAACACTGGGAGTGCTTGCTTAAAAAAAAAAGAAAAAAAAAAAAAGTAGCATAATTTTTTCGTTCTTCCCTTTTTCTTCTCAACTTTACTCTGAGATGTTGGGTTAGGTTATGATTTAATTTGTTCTACTCTAAACCACAGATGTGCCTACAAGTTACTAAGTACTTGATTAAGTGTGATTTCAGAGTACTTTATCTTTTCTGTACCAGATCCCCATGGTCATTCCTAGAGAGCAGCACAGCACACTTTTGTGCCAGCTCACTGCCAAAACTGAGCAAAGCACACTGTGTATGGAATGTGTTAAGAGCTCCAACAAAGCGAGCTGCAGCTGGCTACAATGCAACTCCTCACAAATATTATCACACCAAGGTCCCCACAGCAACAATACTGCAAATTACAGGGACCCTGAGTCTACCAGGGAAGCCTCACAAAATCCACCAACAATGGAAGTCTCAGTGTCATGATTTTTTTTTCCTCCCTGTCTGTACACATTGCTGCTTTTCCCTTTTTTCTCCCCCCATCTTTGGTATCTCTAACTCCTCTCAGTAATTAAGAGTAAGAGAATCCATTCAAATGGGACCCAGAAAAAAAGATGCACTGAGGCTGGGCCCTCACATTCTTACATTGGTAAGATAAAAAGAGATGAACACAAGAAGTTGGAATTAGCTTTCATAAATGGAGGCAGTTCTCAGTACAAAAGCAATCTTCAAGAAACTTTTCACTAGACATGTTGGAGGTGCACCTTTTTTATTGTCTAGGTATTCAAAACTAATTTTCCTTCAAGCAAAGACACTGCTTTTCACTGAGTGATAATGTCAATTCTACTTCAAACATTTCAAATTTCAGCCTTTTTTTGTGTCTTATGACTTAAGTGTAAGAATTCTGAGACAGAAGTGGGTAGATGTTTTTGCCCACATTTTCACATTCAAATTAATTCAAATTAATTTTAAATTTTCCCTTTTTTTAAAGGCAAGTGAACATTAGAGAGTACACTGTCTCATAGATCAGCCCCCCACACTGTTTTTCAGGGTATATCTGTTCAACTTTTTCTATGCTTCAGCTATGAAAAAACATGACTGAAAGCAGAATTCACCTCATTCCATTTTAGAGATTTGTAAGGGAAGCACCTACAGGATTGGAGCTAGGATCCCTTTGTAGTCCCTGAAGAGGAACTACAATGTAAGGTAAGATTCAACCCCAACATTTTATGTGTTTCCCTAGGATGAGATGAATTCCACTTGGAAAGTACTGCTTTCCCCTGCATCTACTACACTGTATACTATAGATTGTTCAAATCCCTGCCTCTTTCAATATGCAGTCTTCCCTGACTGCCTACAACCAGCCCATTTAAATGTCAAGGTTTTTGAAGCAAGGAAGCAAGGACTGTCTTCCTTCATATACATGTGCAACAAATAGGTAAACAGGATCACACCAGCATGACTGTGGCCTTTATTTGCTGCCAAAGTATGAAACATCAAGAACAGTGGTAATGCTAATACCCTAAACAGATTAGCAATTAGAATTCATGGAAAAAACCAATGACTTAAATAAGAATAATACTGAAAGCCTATGGCGAAAAAAAAAAAAAAAAAACAAAAAAACAAAACCAAGCCAAAACAAACCACATTTCATCAGGCATTGCATGCAACATGACTCTATAAGGCCAGATATGGAGAGCAATCAAAAAGAAAGCTTTGCCCAGCTTACAAAGTCTCTCCTTGTTGTGGTTATGGACTCTGATCTGTTAGAGCAGCAATAAATTTTGTTTATGGCTTTTAGCTTTTACAAAGAAGGTGAAAGAGGGACAAATATCATGTTGTCTCCAGTCCTTAACTAAAAAAAAAATTAAAATCAGGGTGTGGGGACAAAAAAAAAGGGCTTTTTAACAGAGGTGAAGACAAGTGGAGTTCATTTGTAGCTAGTAACGGTTCCTGATCCCAAATTTCTCAAACCTGGGCTACACTGCCTTTCCAGGTGCCCCTATCTTTCCTAAGTTACTCTTTGCTTCAGAATGTGCAAAGGAAGAGAGCCATCACCTCTCAGTCATGCCATACATTAAATACTGCAGGCAGAACCTGGCTGTTTAGATGTTCTTACTAGGATCCTCACAAAGTATGTATTCCCCTTGGCATCAGTCATTACAGGGATGGGCAACAGCATGGGAAAAAAAAGGTGAATTCACCTAAACAAATAAATAAACAAATAAGTTAGCTTTCGAGCAGGAAGGCTGTCCTTGGTGAACTAGGTGCAGGTGGCTTTGTAGTGAAGAGGATTCAGAATTTCTTGAAGCCATCAGAAGCAGAAAATAAAGGGTAAAGTGCAGCACAAGTCAGACTGCTGCACATGTGCAGAGATAAGTGCAGCAATCAAAATTAACCAGAAATTTGTAAAGCATTATTACAACAGCCCCTCAGACCGCCAGGAATTAAAACCTTTGGAAACACCTTATACTCTGCTCACTAAGTAAAATATAATTAACCAAATTATATACATCTCAACTCTTACTGCAGCACCTACATTTTTTTCTATATAAAACTACTGATGCAGTTTAATGATAGTTTTAATCGTCTGTTTAGCATGCACAATTCTCACCCTAACATGACATTATTTCACCTGTATTCAGACTGACCTCTCCAGTCTAATAGCAATATCTTCAAAATAATATTATATTCCTCTGCAGGCTTCCTCTAATTTAATAAAACCTTCTCAAGTAAAATTAATCAGTGGGTGATTGATGTAGTTGTATAGATACAGCTTTAATGAAATTACTAAGCTACATGTGAAAGCCAAATTTGCATAGAAGGGTTTCCTTTCACAAACAAATATTGAAAACACAATTTCAAGAAAAACTTGCAAAGGAAAAGAAGGGGGAATAGCAAAGTAAGGTAATTACCTATCTCCCTTTGGTTTTCTTTTTTGTACTGTCTTCCCTTTGGGTCGTCGTTCACTTCCTAAACAGGGGCTCCCACCAGGGCCTGTTACCCGTATTGATTCAAGGCCTTTGGAAGATTTCTTAAAAGTAAATTCCACAGGTTCTCCTTCTTTTAGGCTTCTAAATCCTTCCATGTAAAGCTTACTCTGTAAATAGGAAAAAAATTCTTGGTTATCATTGCCTTAAAAACAGTATTTACATTTATAATCAACAGGACAAATTTCCCTGTCTACAACACATAAAAATGGAGCAACAGTTTCCTCTGCATGAGCTGTAGCAGATGATAATATAAATTATACTCCTGGGTACACTGAAAACCCCATTCAACACTAAACAAGTAAAAAGAACCTATTTTCAGTATCAGCAAAACTGAAATAACATTTTCCTTTTCCGTGATGAATGCTACAGATGAAGCAGAAGAAATGCTGTATTCTTAAAACCCTTAAAAATTCTTACCATGTCTCAGGAAGTGAAAAGATCTGGAAAGAGAGCAAACTAATTTACGATCAATGTTTTAATAATTTGCATTCTTCATATCTGAGACATGGGTCTACGACTCTGAAAATGAATCAAAGATACAGCAAGCATGAGAGACATGAGGAAGGCACTCTGAACAAAGTCCGCTGACATGGGCAATTCAAATATCCCTAGTGAGCTGCTGAATTTCTGTTGACTACACCAAAAATCTACCTAGCATGATTTATGTATGGGTTTACATTTTCATTCACAGAAAAGGAAATTTTTACCATCAGGGCAAGTGAAATAAATACTGATAAATATTTTAATGTTACACTGCAGTAGAAAAATCTTGGACAAGCTGAAGTCAACAGGAGCTTACCAGTGATTCTAATAAAATGAAAATTTTCATCACGATTCCAAGCAAATTACGTACAATAGTAAGTAAGCATTTCAGAACAAATCTGATTAATCAAACTCTTAAATTAAATGATAATCAAGCTTAAATGACAGGGAGGTTTTTAGGGGTGGTGGAGATAAAGTGGTTGCAGTACACTTTTATTTTAGAAATTACACAGTACATGAATGAAATCAGTTGGTCTCTCAGAGAATGTTACAAAATACATTCAGAAGTCTTTCAGGAGAGTTATAACACATAGTTTCTTCCTTTGCTCATGAATTCCTCAGAGGAAAGAGGAAAAAATGTATCCTGACTGATTCTTAATCCATTCTCTAGCATTCACTTGACTGAACCATGGAGTCAAGAAGGAAATCTTCACTGCAGGTGCCATCCCAAATCAGTCACATGTCAAAAAAAGCCAAGTGACACACAGCTTGCATCTGTTACTTGACAAGTGCAAGTAGGAACATGTACAAATCAGATGGCAATCCCTGACACGGGCTCCCTGTAACCACTCACGGGAGGTCTGCAGCACAAGACACTGTTTTAGCAGAGCACAAGAACTGACACCTACACCGTTCATAGCTAGCATACAAAGAGGGAGCTGGCTTCTTCACAACCATGCACAGAGAACAGGACCAAGAGCAAGAGCAGTTCCCCTTGAGCTGCTACAGAGCAAACTAGCTTCAGACACAAGGAGAAATTGCTCACTATAAAAAGAATTAAACAGAGAAGCCAAAGTAATAGTTCCCTTTGCTGGAAATAGTTAAGACTCGTCTTACCAGGGCACTGAATAACACAATCCAAGGCCCTGCTTTCAGCAAGATGTTCAACCAACCAGATGAAATGAAGAGAAACCTTCCAACCTAAGTTTTCCTGCGATTCTGGTATCTTAATCCAGCACTGGTGAGACTGGAGAACAGGATAACAGTCCCTGGTTCTGCAGCAAAGCTACCTTGGGGCACGTGCATCACTTCTCCCTGTTTTTCTGGAGACAAGTGCCACTGCAAAGTCTATTTTTCACAGCACTAATATGACAAATTATAAATTACAAAATAATTTGGAATATTTATTTTAATGAAATCATGTGAAAGCATGATATGCCTCAGCTTCCTGAACCCCAAGCTCTCAGTGCACCCAGCACAAGACACTACTGCTGCTGGCCTGACTGAGTGGCTCAGGTGCTTATAATTTTTTCAGTAGCCAAAAGTAACCAAGAACACAGCTTCACTCATGAGGACAAAGGCTGGTTTTGCTTATCCAGTTGTGCAGTTCTAGTAGACACGGCTCTCGCACACAAATGTAACAGCGTGAAACACGAGACAAACTGCTGATTTTACAGGCTAGAGTTTGAGCACTATTTAAAAGGTAGGGGGAATAGCATGGAAGGGCTGTGGGACAGAAAGAAGAAATATATAGTATCTGTTCTCTGAATCATTACCTTGGTTTTTTTGAAATGTTAAAATTTAAGGTATGAAAAAATAAATATGCAAATGTTAATGCAAGTGGAGGGCAGTAATTGTACACAAACCAATGAAACAAACCACCCAGGTGGGCAGCATTATTTCAAGCAAGCTCTCCACTTCGAAATGCCTGTATAGCAATAGGGGGATCTTTGCCACAATGAAGAAACATCCAAGTTCAGAATGTTCAGAACCAAGAGAAGACACCACCACTCCTCAAGGGGAACAACAGACACTGCCTGTGGCGTGAGCCCATCTTTAGGTCTGTCCACAACTCTTCAGTCTTCTGTGGCCACCAGGGAAATCTTGAAGAAAGAAAAGAACTGAACAATGTGTATTCTGTCCTAAAATAAGCACACAGTTGAATGTTCCAAAACCAGACAATCAGTACAACACAGATGGGTGCTAATCACAAGGGAACCTCAAAGGCATAAGCCCTTATTTTCCTGCAATACTCAACACAGCATGGATGCTTGTCTACTTGTTTAATTACAACTTAATGAAGATACAGTTAAGTCTCACTAAGAGTTGTGCATTTTTTCCTCAGTTTCACCATTATTTTGAAATGTCAGAAGGTTAATATCTGACACACATAACATTGTCTTCTACTTTACCTCAAAATAAATACTTGCTTAAAATGCAACTTTAAAGCAGGGAATTATTAGTATTCTGGAATGTTTTTTTTTTTTCCTCATTTCACTGTTAGCAACAGAACTTGATTTCTAAACAAAGCACTTTATTTACAAGAGATTTTTAAACATTTAAAAGTAAAGCAGCAATCATGCTTTCATGAGTCACATGTTATGCAGGTGTACATTTTTTGCATGTGTTTCTTTCGAGCACTTTTAACAACAAAAAATGTTGAAAAAAAACCCACTTCAAATGACTTGCACAGTTCTCTCCTTGAGTAGGTCTCAACAGCTTTTCAATGTTAGAGATGGATTTGGTGCTGTCTGACTTAATGTGCAAATGTATAGCTCATGGTGAGATTCTCTGAGGGTGCAGTAACTAACAATTCAAAGCCATTGTGAAAAAATGGCATTTGGAAACCAGCAGAACAAATCTAAAACCTGAATCCCTCTTAACTTGTCTAAAGAGCTGGACATAAAATGTCTGTAAAGTTGATAATTTAATGTTGAGAGACCTAGCTCAGTATTTTCCTCACATTACTTAAACAAATAAAACTGACACAATTAAGAGCAGCCAGAGTTTCAAGTCAGTGAACCCTTTCTAGAGCCCTGAATGGGATGTATGGGCACACCGCCAACAAACAAAGAGAAAAACTTAAAAGCAACATGCTTTTCCTCGTTTCTCTCTTTCAGCTGTCAGACACTTTACTGTTATTTTTACCAGCAGTCAATACAGTGGTTTCAGACTGGTGCTTTTTTCCCCTCTTTTTAAATTTGACAATTCAACAGGACCATTTATGGTGGGGTTTTTCTGTTGGTTTTTTTCCTTCTTCTTTTTTTTTTTTTTTTTTAATAGATAACCTAATGTAAAATCTCACACATCTCTGTTACAAGCAATGGCTTGGTCCAAAATGCTGGCAATCTCGTAGTAGTATTGGTAATAACAAATATGAATAAAAAACACCATGATCACAGGTTCATGGAAAGCATTTCCTACTACAAAACAAAAATCAAAACTTAACAAGTATAAACTGTATTAGCAAAATGGTCCTCAAAGAGACACACCAATTCCTGGGCAGTGTCAGGGAGCTTACAGCTTTCACCAGGCTCTACAAAAGAAAGGAAGTTTGGAATTAAGGATCATTACAGGGGCCCTGATTGCCTCAGATATGCGTGCATTACTTTTAATAAGTGTGGAGAGTAAGTGCCTCATCACAACTTTGCCATTTCTAGTCAGGGCTGTGAACAACTGCTGTTGCAGACATTAAATCCTTTAGAGGGATGAGGGGGAAAAGTTATTTGGTGGCATTCTGCTTACCTCGTTTATTTTCTGTATCTCTCATTTCTGATCCTTTTTATCTAGTGATTGATTGATTGCTTAGTACAATGACCAGACGCCACCACTATGCTGAGTTTCCCAAAGTAAGAAAACTGTTTTCCCTCCAAAATCATCTACAATTAAATCCAGACATGAAGGAAAGCATGTTCTAAAGCCCAACAACAATAAATATTGTAAGAAAATCTCTCCAAAACAACCTTTCAGAGTTTCATCAAGAGCCATCAACCTTTCAGTAAAACAAGGGTACACAGTCAGAGGACCCAGAAGTAAAACAATTTACACTGGATGCATACTAGTGCCCTTCCTTGCATTAGACCAAATCCCATGCAGAATAGTATCAGTTGCATGATACAAGTCCTGCTACGAGGACTTTTGCTGTTGACCAAAAGTTCATTCTAGGAGGTTTGTGAAGACCATGTATTTTTGCAGGCAAAATGCTAAAGCCAACACAAAATTCACTACCCTGAACAACAGCCCTAACACAGGATTTGAAGACTGGGAACTCGCAAAACACCTCCACACTGCTCCTGCTGACCCTCAAGGGCTTGTTCCTGCTCCTAGAGGCTTATCTTGCACCAAATCTGGCACTTCTTTTGGTCCTCCCCATAAGCCAATTTAACTCGCTAATCTGACAGGAAACAAACTCAGTTTAAAAAGAAGGGGGGAGGATAAGAGGAAGAGGAAACAGAGATAGATTTTTGTTTTTCCAGTGAGCTAAATCTATTCACAGAGAAGTTCAATGAGCTCTAGGGCATACACAGTGGAAACAGCAACTTTTTGAGATGAGAATGTGCTCCTCAATATTTTATGTAAAAAAAACCAAACTCTACAGCATTATACGTTTGTTTTCAAAGCTTAA